AGATATTTTAGTAAGCACTTGGTCTGTGCAGTCGGTGTCTGAGAGGGTTTGTTGAAACACATCAGTTCACATCAGTTTGAGTGACAAACACCGAGCCCCAAGCCCGATAAAGCAGCTCAATGGCCGTGGGAGGTCAATGATTGCACCGAAATAAGCCCCACATTAATGTTTAATTTATATGATTTTCCTGGATATGAAATCTAACTGATAAGCTCAAGCAAATTAAGTGGCTGAAAGGAGGGCCATAAGCAGCTTGGTATTTGAGATCAGGTCTTTGAGTGGGAGCATCTTAGAAACCAATTACCAGACAAGAAATAGATCATTATTTTTTCTTAGAGGATCGGGTTGTGGGGATGTGGGGGGGGGGGGCAAAGGTGCATGCTAAAAGGAAGGGAGGGTTTTCTAGATTGAGGAGGAAGGGCACAATAAAGACATAATCATCTACCCTCAACTTTTCCTATCCAACTTTCAGATTTTAATTTGCCGTCTGTGAAGTGGTACCTAATTTACTTTCGCCTCATCCCTTCAATGCACCATTGTTGCCGCTGCTGAGATTCAGAGCTTCCTCTCTTAGCTCACCTCGGCGTGAAATTGGTTTAATGAAGCTGAAAGGTATGGGGCTCTCACAACACTGTGGATTCCAGTGACACTGCTTGATCCTCCCACCCCTCCGTTCAGCACCCACTCCCCCCCCGACCCAACTCCCTGCGCACTCGCATTACGGTGACAATTTATAACACACCCCACAAAAGATCCCTATCTCACACATTACATCAGTGCATATTACTGTCCCTTTCAGGGTGCCAACTCTCAGGCAAACGCTGGGGGAAAGAAAAAGTGACTGGCCGATCAGTTTGGGTATATGGCATGCATTAGGCACTTCAAATTATCAGCCAATACCCGTATTAAAACGGATCAGATACTTGGCTGGTAAGAGAGAGACAGGGAAATAGTTTTAAAGTGAAAGAGAAAGGAGTAAAAAGAGATGAAGTAAATATGAACTGAGAGATATGGAGAGGTGAAACTAATCAGAGAAAACCCTTGGCTTTTTTCCCACCTCTTCCAATCTGACCCTGTGAAAGGTGTTCTCCTGTTACCTGTCCTCCTGGGTGTGGTTTCTAATGGGAATGGGAAGGAAGTCCTGTGGGATTATTGTGTGTGTGTGTGTGTGTGTGTGTGTGTGTGTGTGTGTGTGTGTGTGTGTGTGTGTGTGTGTGTGTGTGTGTGTGTGTGCATGTTACATTAATATGATCCCCTTAAGTCATATCGCTTACTTCTTCTCGTCCCCTTTTTGGACAATCGAATGGAAATGCATCCGTAACCAAATATTCCAGCCTGTACCATTGGTTTCTGGTTTGAGGCCCAGTTTGGAGCTGGTAGTTTGTGGAAAAAAACTGAAGCTAGAGGAAAAGAAAGTAGGCTACTGTGAGTGTAAGGAAACAGCAGAATATGCTAGGTTTCCCACTGTGCTGGCTTCCCATGCCAGAAGTGAGGAGGGATGAGCAGCTGTTTTGGACCAGCTCACAAGTCTATCAAGTATGTCTTTAGTTACTGTATGAACATTATCAGATTTTACTTGCTGTAATCATTCAAAAGACCCCCTCCTAACACAGTAAGTGATTTGGCCTGTCAGATGTTCCAAGTAAATGTAATAAATAAGTAAAATGTTCATGCTGTTTTATTTTTTGTATTTTATTTTTTAAAAAAGCTCTTTAAATATGTAGGATACCTTACCGTTAATTATTTTGTAATATTTCATAATCTGAACATGGCAGACAGAGACTCTTTGCACAGGAAGTCTGTCAAATAAGGGAAAACATTTTGGCACCCCTGTTTTAGTTTGAATTGTGTTACATATTCCTCCACTGCATCATATCTGGGAAACACAAAGAGGCTAATATATTTTAAGAAGATAGTAACTTTTATACTTACTTTACCCATTCAATATTTATTCCTTTGCACTTTTATATTGTTTACAATCTACAGAACAGTTGAAAATTTTATGTTGTTGGTCATTGTTGCCTTAAGTATATACATCCTTGCTTTTAGCTGTATGTTTATTTCTATCTTAAAAACTGGAATTAAATTGCATTCCCTGTATGTGTACACATACTTAATTACATAATACATACATAATTGAGTACAGCATGCAAATCCAGTTTAAATTTTAATATGGGCACCTGCCTATTGTTTTCAGACAGACTTGAAATACTGTTGACCTGTCCTTTAATACAGAGACACAGACACAACGTTTAACAAAGAAAGAGAGAGAAAAAAGAAAGGAAGAAAGAGAAAGTTCAAACTCTTTAAGAGAAAGATAATAGCCTAAGAAGACCAGGAAAGGGACAGGGCTGACTCACAAAGGTTTCTTTACACTGTAATGACACGGACATTATGCTGAACTTTGGCTGCCGTAACTCAAAAAGAAGGACCACTTTCACTGCTGCGGAGCACCGGCCAGCAGCACGCACTGCTGTTTGTCTTTCAAATGCCATTGTGGGTGAGGCCACTAGTGTACGCACAAAGTGCCTGTTACAACTTTCTATTCACTGTGGGATTGTGAAACTCACAAAGGAATTTCAAATTATCGTCATATGATTTTGTACAACCGTCATCTTGTCGGAGTTTGTAAATTAGTTTAAACACTTTCTTGTTTCCTGTGATTTCATAGTCTCTAAGGCCGGTTTAGTGATAAGCATAAGAGTGGTTACGTGTATACAGTGTGTAGCTCACACACACACATACACAAATTTACACGGAGAGTGGTTCTAAACTGTTGTATTTAGCTTCTTCCCAAGGTAAAACCTGATCCACAGTGAGCGTAGACTGGGGAGATTACAGCTGAACAGAACCACAGGAGTGCTATCTTTTACAGGTAATTACTCAATTATCAGTAAACACTGTCGCTGGAGACACAATGCCATAGAAGGGATCACACCGACCGCTGAATGATTCACTTCAACACCACAACAGCATGCATTTACAAAGAAGACAGCCATGTGAAGAAAAGGGAAAAAAGTCATTACACACACTTTCAGTGTCAGTACATTCTTGTTTCATGATACAAGATAAGAGGTGAAGTGAAATAAAACAGTACATGTGTTTGATTTATTAATTCTGAATAAAACTGGTGTCTCAGGATTTTGTAAATGTTAAACTACTTGTATGAACGGATCTGGCTTGAAAAACAAGACATCTCTCTTTCATTAGATATTAAATGAAACACAAATGAGGACTCATCACCTCCTAGGTCGGCTTTGACATTGCCGCTTTATGCCACTAGCGGGAGCTAGTGAACAGATGACATGAGGCTCCCAGGATCCCCTGCAGGCTCAAACTCAGAAAAAAGTTCTTGTTTGAACAGTGTTAGGAACCAACATTGATTTTTATAGGTTTGTTTAAAGACACAGGTAAAGACACAGCCAGGTAGGCAAACAGATAGATGAGTTTGCAGGGGTGGGTGTTATGTTACACTGATGGAAGCTGAAAGGATAAGCAAACTCAGAGTCCTTTCATTAGTCTGTAAACATTTTGGAAGAATTAACAGAGTGGATACGATTTGACACTTGCCTTGAAATACTGAGCTATGACAGAACTGACCAGTCAAATTTAAAGTTTTTACAGGTTCTTATTTTAGGTTGTGGTTGTTAAAAAGGTTAGTCAGAGTGCAGCATCTTTTCATATGGAGCGCGAAACCACACACACTTAAACAGAAAACCAAGGATGGAAATCCCATATGGTGTTACCTGCCTGTGGTCACACCTGGCCTAAAGCCACGATCCACAGTCCTTCCCTGCGGTCCTACACACTCACCACGTGGGTTAACACACACTCAGTAAAACACTCTCTTCCACTGAAGCAGCCCTGCAGGCCTTCTAAATCTCTCCTGAGACAACCTACCGTGAGGTAATGAGGAATTAGAGGGAAGGAAGGAGGTCTCCTGAAGATTTACAGGTCTTAACTTCTGTTACTGTCACCCAGGAAGAGCCACAGGCCTGTGGTTATCAATAACAACAACAACCACCTTCTAACCAACACAACACCACCTCACAACTTCTGGGAGATTTGTAAAAGGGGGGTAGTGGACTCACCACTCATGTTTAAAAAAAAAAAAACAAGCTTAATTTGTAAGCCTGCTACACATACTAACCTCTCAGTGGTCGATTAAAAGCTCACATGTGAGTTATTTCTGCACTATTTTTACTCTTTGTCATCATCCTGTGAACTGTAATATACATACATAACACTAATGTATCACTACCATTCAGGAAAAAAGTAGCCCATAAATCATTGTTTTGCTTTCTAAGTTAGTTAGCAAATGAATGTCACAGAATTTGTCACATATACAGTGACACATATCTTGAAAATGTTCTAAATACCAACATACCACATTCTTTTCCACCAAACTACATAAAATCATAAAATGTATGATACAACTTCATTATCTTTCCCGTTAATTCTGTGCGTTGATTCTGATCTTTTCAGTATACCCAAAATCACAATGTCCAATTTAATTTGATAATTAGTTGTAGTAATGACTAAGCAAACAATGAGTTAATACTGATTATAATATTCTTTAGGTTGTTTGTTTGGGCCAGATAAAAAAAGGGGGGGTGTATGAGGATTATGTATATATTTCTATGTGATGTTCTTTTGGCCCAATGGGGGTAATTAAAGGGCACTGGAATTAGTAAACATCAAAAACTGCACAGAAAATAGTAAATTATGAAGCAACCAATAATTGCGTGCATCATGAAACATGGTGTAAAACAAGCTATTTAAATATAATTAACTTGCAACGGTCTGCTGCTTTGGTTTACCTTTAAATATACAATATGTGCTCTAATATTTGTCAGTAATTAAATGTGTTTTCAGACAGAACTTGTGTGACAAACCTCTGTGGCCACTCCTCATTCCAGTTCGCTTCTCCGAGGAATAAGCTGGTAAATACTCAGATATTAGATAGTTGGAGCCTTCATCTACTTCTTACCCTCTCATCCTTTCTTTTCTATTTTTTTTAATACTACAGATAATAATACTCCTTTTCCCCACACTTCCTCATTAAGGTACATTCAGCCTCCTATCAGTCCATCAAAGAGTTTGTTCATAATGGTTACATGAAAGTGAAAAACCTTATGCTTTGATTCACTGACAATACATTTAGCAACTACACCGGCACATACAAAGTAAGCGTGGGTGTTTTAGAGCTGTTCTGCAACTGTAAGATGATCAAAAGAAGCCATAACCACCTAGTGATATGATCTTATGGGACAAAAAGGTAAGCAATGTCTCTGATTTACAGTTAAGAAGGATGCTGACAATGATGAAACAAATCACCCAAAAATAACTACAAAAGAATCCTCCGATGTTATATTTAAAATGCTTCTGTGGTTACAGACTACATACTGTACTACCACAGACGTCACCGTCAACCAAATACATGCACACATCTGACTCTGACGGAGTGTGACTCATTCAGATGTCATGAAAACAACCGTAGGTTTGCTCTGTCTACATGCCTAAAAAATGACTGTCAAAAACCATCATGACTAAAATTTTGTAGGGGAGATTCTCACTCTGTGTATTATCTTGAGCTTCTGAGATTATGGTTATTGGGTATATGAGATCAAACCTTTCATAAACATCAGCTGATTGAACACCTTTCTATGAATTGACCTTTTGAACTGGACATGTGGGGATGCACGCTGACATTGACTGATACTGAATGACAGATAGGAGGCTCCCTCACTCAGTTACGATGATACCGTGAGCAGAGGGGCCCCGTGTTCAACGGATGGGCTTACACCCTGGACAGGTATGTACTGTGCAATTACCAGACTAGCTCAGAGCATGCAATAATCAGTAGGTGCTGTACCATTAAGTATGGGGGCGGTGGTGCAAACAACTTTGAAGAGAGACCACTAGTGTCAGGTGTCGAGATTTACTTCACCTGACTAATTTTCCTTGCCATTCAACTGCAAGGGTTTTCTCTCAGACGAGGACAGTCTGACATGGGTTGCAGTGGGTGTGCCCAAGCATGGGAGAATGTGTGTAGGTGTGCTCAAAGTTTTAAAAATAGGGCATGCCTGAGAGACAACTGACAAACTGAACGCATGCGTGTGTTTATGTTTGTGTTGAGAGAGACCGTGTGAACGTGGCTCAATCGTGTCTACGTCTGACACGAGGCATGAGAGTGCGCAATGACTCTATCATCAGAGATAGACAGAATGTAGAGATGGCAAGAATGTGTGTGTGTGTGTGTGTGCACATGAATAAGGCATAGGACACAAGTGTGTTAACATACTTGAAAACACATAGAGGAGCACGGTTTTCACAGTGCCTGTGTGTGCGTGTTTATGTGTGTATGCATGTGTGTGTGTGTGTGTGTGTGTGTGTGTGTGTGTGTGTGTGTGTGTGTGTGTGTGTGTGTGTGTGTATTCAGCCATGTCTGGAGGGTGAGGTGGAGGCCGATGCTTTGGCAGCAGGTCTGGCACGTCTTTCAGGCCCAAACCTGCAGAGGAGAAAGAGAGAGAGAGAGAGGGAAGGGAGGCAGAAAGCAAATAGGTGTGAGAGTCTGCCTGCCTTCATGTGATATGCTTCACTTCTACCTCACCATCACTAAAAGCTCCTGGCACCGTCAAACCAAATACAGGTCCAGTCAACTTAATACTGTGCTCCATTTTAAAGCGGGGCACAGTCATTAATGCACTGAACAGCAAGGCAGCAAAAAAGTACATCACTTAAATTAAGTTAATTTACTTTCGTACACCCAAAAGTGAGTTCCTACGTATCTCTATACACATCTACCTCCCCAACTGGGTGGTGTTCCCACTTGATACAGTTGTATGATTATACCCCCTTCATGTTTCCGTTTAGATTGATATCTCCACACTTGTCCTACCAAGGTCCAATGAGAAAGCATGTGTGGTATCTTTGTTTTGCTTCGACATTTCAGCCAGGCATATCGCTGTTGATGAACACATTGTATTTCAGCAGTCACGCATTTCAGGAATGTGTGCAAAATGTATTTGTCCCACTGTTTTCTAAAATTGGAGTTAGTTTCTCCTCCAACTGTCCTAGCAGTTGAGCCTTTATTTTGATTTAAGCTCCCAGAAATTCAGCTCCGTTTTACTATATTAGACCTGCTGCCGTCCATTTCACCAGCTGGGCTCCTCACTCATCAAGCTGGTTTAGTATAGTGTGATCAAGATTATAGGTTACATTTCCAAATTAAGTCAAACCTCTGCTGTGGATATCATTAGATAAAAGGATTTCCTGAATAATATCCAGATAATACCTACACCTACACGGGAACACTTCTAAAGAGAGTATTTGTCCCCTAAGGCAGTAGATCACTCTACATTGTGACCACGGCACAAAAGTGACGTTAGAGAGTGTATCAACTCCATAACCTCAAAGGAAATCTCTATTCAGTGGCCATAAAAGAACGCCTTAGCCCACTATCGCTGTGGGGCCAGGTACAGAAAGAGAGAATGGATTAAGAGAGAAAACAGAGAGGAGAAAAGTGGAGAGTGTACAGGTGAAGTCCTATGGCTATGGAGGTTTGCTCAGCTGTGCAGTATTCTTTTCTGTGCCCCACCCAGTAACCAAAGGCTGGTATATCTTTCCATTTCACGCTTTTCCACCCTCCCTCTCTCCATCTCTCTCTCATACATATTTGCACAGGTGAGAGGACAGCAGTCCAATAGATGTGGGTGGGAGACTTGAAAGTCAGGTTTGCCTGGCTGGTGGAAGGAGTTCACCTATGGACTGTGGAGGGATGAAAATCTGATGGCGGGGGCCCAGCCAGCCTTTTGTCTGAAGAGACAGACAGTAAACACACAAACATACAAAAACTGAGGAATTCAATCACTCAAAAGATCATTAGTCATAATGGCCTGTTACACAGTGAAAGAGCAGGAGCAGGGGACACAAGTAAAATAAGGACTTGCAGCACGAAGGACACAAACCTGTCAGTGATTTGAGAAAGAACAAGAATATGCTGAATAAAGGGAGGGACTGAACGAAAGGTGGACAGAGAGCAGAGAGGGAGGTGGAGCAGCGCAGGAGTCATAAGGGTGGGGAGGTTTTGCTCCAAGGGCCAAAAGTTCAGAGCGAGGCAGAGCGAGCAGGTAACCCTAGCCACCATGTGCCAGAGTCTCACGTGTTCCCTTCATTGTCTTAACAGGCTGAAGCTCAGGTTTCTGGAGCGCAGAAAGCTTCCTGGGAGATGAGGTCCAAGCACCACCACCCACCTCCTCACCTGTCTACCCCTTGGACCCTTCGCCCCACCTTGCAAATGTAAACACACACACACACACACACACACAATAAGCAAACACATGCATAATACGTCAACACATACACATGTGAGTGTTAAGCAAACACTGGAGTACATGATCAAGCCTGAGAAACACGTCTTTATCGTGCAAGCTCAAGCACAAGCATGGCCAACGCACACGCACAAAACTGCTCCAAGTGGGCAAATAATGTACAGTTGGTACAAATCAAAGTGAGGTCTTTCGTATTACAGAGAATTATGATGAACCACTCAGTGCATTTACTTGAAAAAAACATACAGCCTATGTGATATAATGGCAGCAACTGGATGAACGAGTCGTAAATCACCATAATTACCATTACGCCCATGTCAAGAGAGTCTTTCGCTCAGACACATGAGGCGGGATTATCAGAAATGAGGATATGTACACCAGAGGCAATTTCCTTTCTTCTGTCCCTCTATCCCTCTCTCTCTCTCTCTCTCTCTCTCTCTCTCTCTCTCTCTCTCTCTCTCTCTCTCTCTCTCTCTCTCTCTCTCTTCCTGTATAATTCCACCAGAGGATCTGATTCATAACTGAGATGTTAGTCTTCAGCATCCTCTGTCATTGTTGGGTAAGGGAGCAACTGAGTTCCACTTCCTTTCCACTGGATGTGCAATATATTGTAATTCCATGTTTTATATGTAGCCTAGTTTATACTGATTTTATTTTATAAGAGAGAAATATACACACTGCAGAAAAATCTTCTTCTTATCAAGTCAGTTTTGTCTGTAATTGAGGACTCAAAATGTTACTTTCCTATGACAAAAGACTTTAAAAGTTTTTTAAAACTGACCACCTTGTTTCAGGTAATTTCTAAAATCAAGCTTTGTTTTGATTCAAATATCCTCTCTTGTTAATAAATTAAAAAAAAAGATTTTTAAGGAAATAATTTTGGAAGTCCTAAGAAAAGGCAACTGGACTTTAGCTTTCTAAAACAAAGCCAAGTTGCCCTTGAGATATACCATGACCTGGATAACTTAAGACAATAAGTTTTTTGAGAGTTCAATTAAATAGAATAAGACAGATACGTTTAGCCATGCTAGTGGGAGAGTCGGCCCTGGTCCAAAGAGGATGAATCCTACAGACATCACCATCACCATCATCACCACCAATGTTGAGTGCTAATTAGTACATTTTTGCAATGTTAACATACTAACCCAGGATTGGGGAACATAGTAAGTAAAGCCTCACAGAGGCTGTTTGTAGTCTTGTTTGCAGTGTGGATTGAACACGCTAGCTCAGAGTAAAGTTTTATTTGTAAGGACAGTGTTTAGCACAGTCAGTATAAAATAAAGTCTCTTTGCAATTATTTTAGTAAGCAAGGGTTATAATCAATTATTGTCTAGAAGAGCTTCTGAAGGTCCCCTGGTGGCCTTTGAATAAAGGTGCCAACCATGAACCACCACATCCTCAAATTAATACTTGATTTAAGAAGATACAGACTAGGAAACAGAATATATCTGCCAGTGTAGTAAGAGAATTACACTTGCTAATATTCCATGAAATATGAAAACATATTTAAGCTTTAGAAAATGAGCAATGTCTATATATACATATATATATATATATATATATATATATAAAATAAGTGGTAAAACACTAATTCCAAGCACTGTATTAAGACAAATATTGGGGATTAAATTAATTAAAATAATCATTATCATCTGTACTAGTGTGCCTGTGAAGTGGCTCTGCCATCACAGTGTCCATCAGTGGGTTCATCACTTTGGTCCAGACTGAAATATGTCATCAACTATCAAATGACATTTGGTGCATTTGGTAAGTTTTCACTTACTGTAAATATACCTCAACATAAAATAGACACATCGGGAGAAATTTGATTCAGATTTTCCATCACCATCACCAGGTTAAAATTTGTCCACAACTTAACTAATGACCAGAGCTATTGTGGTTTTTATTTTAATTTCATTTAGTTTTTCATTTTCAATTTTTGTTGCCAATTCAGTTTAGGTTTAGTTAGTTCAGTTTCAGGTCATTTCAGTTTAGGTTTTTTTGTTTGAAAATGTTTAGTTTTAGTTTATTTTTAATGAGTTTCAGTATTAGTTTTCGTCTTTTAAGCGGTAACATTGGTGTATTTGTCAGGGGCAAGACTTAAAGCAACATTATGTAAGATTTGTTGTGCACTGTAAAGGGTTAAGCACTTGTCCCGACCCAGAGTCAGAAGTTACATTGTGATAACAAGTGTATGGGGTTCAGAGTGACAGAGGGACCACTGACCATATTACAACTCAGTGTAAATGATTTTAAAGCCGTTGTTTTAAGGTAGAAAAGTTACATAACATTGCTTCAAGAAGTTCATAAGGTATCACAAAAACATTGGCTCACATCACTCACTCATCTCAGTCTCAATTAACATATGCTTGTTGTGTTGACAAATCTTACCACATAGACAAAGATTAAAACTGAAGACATTTCCTGTCTATTTGTATTTTAGTTAGTACACAATATTGGGGTTTTTTTTGTTTTTATTTTTAACTAAAATGTTTTTCAGATCTATTTTTAGTTTTGAGTTTAGTTTTAGTTAACTATAATAATCTTGCTAATGACTTTCCCATCAGCCTCGACTGTACTTCTTTTTTTTTTTACTTTAATAATAATGTGCACTGTGAAAATATCACCTCTGATGACACATTTGATGAACAATGAATTACTTCAAAGGTACTTTATTCTCATGAAGAGTCTCAATCATTTAGTTTTTGGTTTTTTTCATTTAGATTACAGTTTTATATTGTATTACTGAAAGGGATGTAAATCATTGGAGGAAATGTTGTTATCAATAGAATGTGACGCAATCAAAAATCCAAACCTTGAAATTAGATATTTTGTTCCAAGATAAAGTTGAGAATATATGGTCATGTAAGCCAAAAGACTTGAAATAAGACAATTTTGTTTTAAAACTTCAGAGCTTAAAATTAAATGTCAACGCTTCCTGGAGATCCTGTGGCTAATATGTCCTTTGTGTCTAGCTAAATATCTCTAAATAATAATAAAATAATAACAACTAAAACTAAAGAAACACAAAAGATTCAGGTATTGTTATAGAGAATTATACTTTCCTATTGTAGGCATGTGTAATTATGAAAAGTTAAATAATATTGCTTTAAGAAGCACAATTATGTAACGTCATCATACAGCACACCATTACAATCCCTCTCACCACTCTACCTGT